ATGACTGACCCTCACAGAAGAGGTTAAGTTAAATGAATTTCAGTGTGCATTCTCCCATCAATCCCTCAGACTCCTCTTCAAAATTAGGTTAAAAAAAATTACCACTAAGAAGCAACCACGATTTGACACAGGTCTCGGACTGTTAGAGTTTAACAATACTCCTTTTCTGGCACATGAGATCATAGCAGCTTTTTCTTTACAAAAAAAAAAATCTGTAAAGGTCTGGTGGGTTGACCCCAGTCAAAAGCCAAACACCCCCCCCACACACACACAGCCTTTCTCTCACTCTCCTCTCCTGTACAGAAAGGGGAAGAGGAGAAAATAGAAGGAAGGTTAAAAGGCTCATGAATAAAGACAATAAGAGTTTAATAGGTAAAGAAAAAGCTGCATGCACAAGTAAAACAAGAGGAGGAATTAATTCACTGCTTCCCATTGGCAGGCAGATGTCCTACCAGTTCCTGGAAAGCAGGGTCCCAGTATGCATAGTGCTTGCTTGGAAAGACAAACACCATGAGCACAAGCATCTCTCCCTTCCTCTTCCTTTCCCTGAGCTTTTATTGCTGAGCATGTGTCTCCTCTCAACCTCCTACCCTGCCTCATTCTACTCATGGTGGGGGTGAAAGCCTTTACCTGTGCAAGCACTGTTCAGCAACAGCCAAAACATTAGCGTGCCATCAAGACTGGTTTAGCCACAAATATAAAGTACAGTACCATACAGGCTGCAACAAAGAAAATTAACTCCAGCCCAGCCAGACTCCAAAAGATACTCAGTTTGTCCACTTCTGTTTAGCACGTGACATGGCACAGCACACACCTGACCACATTTCAGATCTTTTCAAACATACTTAAAAGATTCTTCTGATACATAGGATAGAAAAAGCAACTGGGGGAGTAAAGCACACGAAAGCTGCACATTTCAGAGAATACCAGTTACTGCCAGCAACCCTTCATTCTTCACCCAAGTCAACATGCACAATTCTCACAGCAGTTAAAATTACCTGACATCGTGACCAAACTGTATGGTCATTGGTTGTACCAAAATGGCAAGATGTTTGAACACTAGGTGGCCACATTGTTTAGATCCAAAAAAGTAAATATGCACAACAGTGTTACTGAGGCACCTAAGCTCTCTCATAAGTTCCATACTAACAGTTTCTTAACCCCTCCATACATGGTCAAAAATTTATCTGGTCACTGACAGGAAAGCCCTTGGGTTTTTCCCACATTCAAAGAGACAGTCTAGAACTTCCGTGAGAGCCTGACCCCATGAAACCAAGAGGCTTCTCCTGCCACAAAGAGTGCAAAAGAAGTTCAGGATGATGGAGAGAAAGAAATTTGGATCCTGTCAGGTAATGAGTCACAGACCTTTGTTCACATCCTCAGACTCCTACCAGCCACAGAGGCTGAGAACAAGGCAGCCCAATCAATTGGAAGGCAGTAGAGATTGCTCAGCAAAGCTCACCTGGTTGTTGGGAGAAAAACACCACCATTTCATTTTAAAAACATGCCACTAAGTGTTTAGAAGCAAAGAAATAAGGCACTACATGGAAATTCTCGTTCACATACAGAATATACAACTAGTGCAAAAGTTGCTGATACCAGGAAGAATCAGTTTAGAGAAACAGGTTCTCTATCAGAGAAACACCCAGCACCCATACTGTGCAACTGAGTTCCCTAAGGTCAGGATGAAACATGTGACCAATCCCTAAAAGAACAAAGCTTGTTCTGAGAGCTTTCAGCACCCTCCAAGAACAAAAGGCCCTCAAAATTGGAACAATCAAGATAGAGAGCACCTTTCCCTCTCACCCCTCTTCATTCTAACTAGAAATTATGGAAGGGAGCATGGCAGCCCTTGCAATCACAAAACAGGAGTATACCCAACAGACTTCACAGATTTCACTCTGTCCTCAGACAGAGCTCAGAAGTTCTCATAGGCCCAGGCAGAATAAAGATTCACCATAAGCCAAGCGCATTCACGGGAGAAGCCTGGATGTGACCTCCTACTACACAGTTACAGGTTTTTTGTAGATGATTAGTTGGAGTGGTTGGTAGTTGGAGACATTGGGCGTATGAACTACCAATAACTGAATACTCTTGAAATTTCAATGGCTTCCAATGAAGCAGGACTGAGATCCAGCTTCCGCAACATGTGAATTTTAAGTGATTGCTGAGTTGTCCATCACCACAGCCACACAATCCTCAAAAAAGACAGCAAAGAGCCCTTCTTAAACAAGAAGTGGTATGATCACCAGCATTACTGAAGCACGTATTCTAAGACAGAACAATATAGTGGCCACATTGGAAAAACGAACACCATGCACTGTATTCTATCTACAAATCTCTGCATTAGAAAGAATTTGTTCAGCAACTTGACACAGTGAATTACCAGACCTTGTTTTCCAAGTACTAAGTGGAATCGAAACGTGCCATTTACTCCATACCAGAGACATACTTTTAAGCTCTCCCTTATGCAGGAATGATTAAGAGGACAGCACCAAAATGGCATAACAGATAATCTCCACTGGAACCTGATATTGGTGGTCATGTGTCTGTCACACAAAACAACCAGAGACCACCAAGTTAGATGAGCCAGACTCAAGCGAGTCCTGAAGACTTGATAGTACAGCACACCTACAAACAGCACCCCACGTCCGCATTCTCCCAAAGAAATGTGTACCAGTTCTGCAGCGTGCCCTTAAAATTCTTGAAAAGCCATCTACATGTCTAGACAACTCAGCCCACTTTCCTCCCTTGTCCAAAAGGCAACAGGTTACCTAAAGATGATCAGTCACCTGAAGACTTATGGAATAACTCTATCCACTCCATCCAAAGATGTTACTGGCTGATAATGCTTGGTGGTGGTAGCATCAGATCATTAAGCTCCAGAAATTAATGAGATTAAGACAAGAGCAAGGTGGCTGGTGTGATAATTAAGTCTCTGGCACCTACTGTCCTTGGGATATAGTATAGTGGAAAAACTCCCAACAGTGCCAAACACAAGAAAATGGAGGCATCATAGGAGGAAATGCACCTAACCAAAGAGGCAGGCAGCACAGGAATATTTCTCCATCAGCATCAGTATCCTTTTATATTCAGCTTACTATTTCAAGTTGCTCCAGAGCACACCACGGTGGTGTTGCACATCTCTGTCTCAGCAATGTTATTACAACTTAACGGACAAGGATTTTGCTTTGGGTGGAGGAACCATAGCTTGAAAGGCTACCCTCAGTGTGAATGGACGCATCCCATTCACCAAACAAGATTTGTCAGTAGTCACATGGCTCCAGGACCAGAACATCTGTCTCCTTGATGCATCTCGAGTAAAAAGGAAGAATGAACAAATTAAATTGTATTTCTCTTTAAGCGCTCGGTAATGGGAATACATATCCCATTAGAACATACAGATGGAATTTCTCAAGGACGATCCTTCAAAGTCTTTAACCATATTATGATTCTTCCAAGAATGCCGGTCTTCTCTTGTTTGGCTAAGCATTTCCCACTTTGTTGCCAAATGACATTCTAAAAAACTGAGAGTTCTTTTCAGGTTGTCAGTAATCAAGTTCTATAATATTTACTTCTGGAAATCCCATGTCACACTTGGGGATGGTTAACGGTGTGGGGCTACTAAACTTGCTGACCCAAATAGTAAAATAGGATACAAAAAAGAAGTTCATATTGAACTAGAGGAGTATGTGAGTCAATGAAGGAGAAGGAAGACAATTCAAGAGCCTGCAGTTTTAAACAGACCTACAGATGGAAAGGTTACCGCAATTACAACTACGGAAAAAAAAAAAAGATGTGGCAGCAGTTAAGATTAAATCTCTTGAATAACAGCTGCAGAAGTTCTGTTTTTATTGAAGAGAGAATGATAATTGTTTGCTCTCTGTAAGAACAGGAATTAAAAGTAGACCTTCTTCAGCCTTTAAGACACAGACAGCAAGCAGTAAATTAAACCCTACTTCTTTTGCACATGTGAGTGGAAAGACAAAACCATTAAAAAACAACTCACTCAACAAGTGTAGTGTGCCTGCCTAACAACATTAGTGAAAAAACAACAGGTATGAACAAGCCACCACAATAATATATATTGCAATGAGAACAGGCCAAAGGTTCTACAAACCTAAAATCTGTCCTTGATAATAAAAATACGTGCAAATCTAGAAGTGGCCAACAGCACACATTAGCCCTCAAGTTTAGTAACAGATCACTTTCAAACTTAATAATACAAAACTAATCGAATTCCCCACTTTCACAGAAATCCTGTGGAATGACAAATAGAAAAAAAAAGCAGTGGAGAATAAAGAGAGTACCAGCTGTTACACTGAATTTCTCCAAGTGATGGAGACATACTGAAATGGTAGGAAGCCAAAAGAAAAATACCTATTAAAACAGATACCTAGCACCAGCAATCCCTCAGAAATAAGAAATAAGCCTGAAAAATCATAAGTCATTGCAGCAATGACTACAAGACATATTTATGGAGTCCAATGCTCTGTTTCCACCTGTCACAGGCTTTCTATTTGGACAAAATTGTCAGTACATCAGTTTCCATTAACACGGAGCCAAATTTTTCCCTGCCAAAATCCACTATTCTCAACAGATGTGGTTTCTCTGCACAGCTAGCAGCACAACGTGCTTTCAATACATTAATTATTACTACAGTAAATAAAGGAACAAAACAGATCAGATTCTCAAGTCATCCAAAAAAAAAAAACAAAACAAAACAAAACAATTGCTTGAAAGATATAAGCCAAAAAAACTCCCACCAACCAAAATCCAAACATATATATACACACATGTACTGTAGGTTAATACAGTTGAAGATAAATTACTTTTTGAGGGCTTTTATGAGTTTTCCTTCAAACAATGCAGAGAACATAGTTTTACATATAAGTATTAGTTTTATATGCCAAATAACTTGATGAACTTGTCATTAAAAAAGTCATTAACGGTCAAAGCACATATGCTTCAGATACACAGAAAGGATAATAAGTGTTTACCTTAAGTTTGAATTCAAGCTGTGGTAGAACAGAAAGCAAGAGATGACTGTCAATATTGTATAACTCCAGAATCAAGTCAAACACATGCTCTGACAGGTCACTAATTGATGTTTTACCAAGCATGAGGACTTGATTGAAGAACTGGAAAATAAAACAGAGTATACAGCAATAACAAGAGTATACATCCACACTCTAAATCCTCTGTTTGTCTACCACTAAATCTACCTTTTAATCTTATGAAATTTATTTCACTATTAAAAAAAAGGGGGAGGAGGGGGCACACATAGACCAGGATTCTGTAGTAGAAATCTTAAAATATCATTGGTTTGTATTCACTACTACACGTAAAGGAAAAGACATTAAAATCAATGTTTAGTTTATCACTGTAGGCCTCCAACTTCAGAGGAGTTCCAGTGCATCACATCTTTTTATCATGTAACTATATTTAGAATAATTTCACTACTGACAACAATAACTTTAAAAGTATTATAACATTTAGTCAAAACAAGGCTGAAACAACTGGCTAATTACTACACTACAGAGTTGACCCATTAAGGAGTTCTAAGTAAAAGTGTAGGAATTAGTAACTGACTGTTCCAGAATTTGTAATTACAAATGGCATAATACAGCTGTAAAGTAATTACTCTTTCCTGGCAAACTTGACAGGTTTGAGGGAAACGTCACACTTCTCGGTAAAGAAAATATTTCCTAATATCAAATACTAATTCCACACTACTTTCAACTATATCCTCACATAATAGATGGGTAAGAAGTGACTAAAGAGCAATATGCTACCCTTACAAGTAAGAGGAAGGACAATTTGGGAAGTTTTTCTTCTTTTGGGGTTAAAACAATACACAAGCGCGGCTAAAAAAGTTATACTATTTCTACCTGCCACTAAGGCAACAGAACACCCTTAACTGGCACTTCAGTTTTCTATTCCCAAACTTGGGACAGATGAACATCATAAACCTCTGTACCTGACAAGGTTAATCATGTCAGTAAAGAAACTAAAAACACGAAAGCTACCACTTAAGGTTATAAAGTGAACCCCAACAAGTAATGCAATAGAAAAAGTCGACAGTTTCTAGTAATAACGACCAGAAAATAAGAGTTAAGTACATTTCATTAGAAGTTAAAGACTCCATACTGTCTTGCAGAAGTTTTCCTTTTCTGGATACAGGGTTGCCTAGAACGTATACATTCCTGGTTAGGAAACTAACTCCTACTGTGTCTTTAATAGATTTTAAAAAAGAAAGTAACTTTCAAAACAAAGCATAATATTTCCCATTTGTGGGAAATCAAGAACAGAAGGCTGCATGTGCATATTTTCCGTAAGAGGAAGATTCTTATTGTACAGACTTCCTCAAAACCCACAAAATGCCACCCAGTTTGTAATCTAACCTCACAGATGAACAACATTAAAAACACACTCCCATGTAGCAACACCTTCCCTAACAGCAGCTTTGCCTAACAGGTTTGAAGTAAGATTTTTCACTGGAGATTTTTTTAAAATCTTAGAAGGTACCCTCCTTCCAAGTACCACAAGCATTACAAGTCTGAAAGCAACAAAAAGCATCAAAGATTTTCTATTGTTTTCAAGCTCCTGAGGTTTTGGAGAGCTGCCACGAGACCTGCTAAATCCTTAACTAATTTTAAAAAAGAAAAAGTGTAGATTTTTTTTTCCCTTCTATTGTGCAAATTAAGCTAGAGAACACTCCTCGCTGATCTTTACTTCCTCTCATTGCTCTTCTCTTGCATCGTCTATGACATCTACACTCAATCTGGCTACAATCCTCAATGCACTCTGTTTTCTTCCTTACTATCTATTCTTAGATTGTTTCCTCTTCTGTTCCTGCGACAACAGCATTAAAATTCTGCTCTATCTTCACTTCTTTTAGCTTCTAAATAGTCTCATCTCCTCGCCAGAAAAAGAATTTTGCCAAAGAAACAATGTGTTTATCGATAATACATATAACCACAGTTGGTCTTCCAGCCACATTAAGGATTGAAGTGCAAGGTCTTCCAAGACAGCAGAAAGTAAACTATCCATTGCATTTCAGAAATCAAAACTGTTATGGGCTTAGTAGTTTCTACACAGTACAAAATTAAGTCAAAGGGACAGGTTATGCAGTACTTCATTAATATAACAATTCTCTCAAAGAACAATTAAGATTTTGTAAAAATGTTCCTTTACGGCCCTATTTGACTATATGCAACTCATTCTGTTTACAATAGGTTAAAAAAATATATTAATTTCCATATTTGTTTGCAGTCTTCACTTACATTAGTAATGTATGGTTCAATTGCTTGTGCTGTCCTCTTTAGCAGAGCCTTTGCCAAATCATATGCTTGCTTGTTTAAATTCTGGGGGGAAAAAATAAAACAAAACAGAAAAGTTTTAAGTACATGCATTAATCCTAAAAATGAATACAAGAATTTAGAACTGCACTGCACTGATAAATGCATTTAGGAAACAGCTTGTTCTTTTTATACTTTCAGTAGTACAGATAATATAGTAAAAACAAACCTAATCCAAACAGAGCTTTGTTGAGTCCACTGATATTACTGAGAAAACTTTCCTGGCAAATTAGGGCTTACTTTTCAATTGCCTACCTAAGCCTGACACTCAGTGAAGGTCAGTTACTGCATTTTACTGCTTCATGCTATCAGCTTCCCCAAAACCCAAGAAAGTAATGTAAAGCAACATGGAGGCACCACAGAAGCAAGACTCTGAACAGGATTGTGGTAGAAGGTATGATTCTGTCCTCACATCAGGCAGTCACCTGTGAACCACTATCACAGCCTCTCCATAGCATCTTGCAAAGACACTTTGTTTGACTGATATCAAAAAAAAAAAAACAATCTAAAATTTTAGTTTGTGAGCAAAAAAAAGGGTGAGGAATACAAACTGATGGAACTAACACAAAAAAACCCAAAAAACCCACCCTATCATTCCTATCACTCCATTTGTCTAACTAGGTTACTGCACTATCATTGTTTCCTTCCTTTCTTACCACACATTCTCCACCCTCTAGTTGGTACATCCTTTCTCCAATTCTGTATCGCAATTATTTTAAAAGAAATTTCAGAAGAAAATGCAACTGAGCCCTTGTGACACCCATTTCAGACTTTATTAACACATAAAAGAATGAAGGAAAAGCCTTCAATAAAAAAAAAAATATAGTCTTTTGACAGCTAAAAATCTCTGAAAAAACAGTTCCTTCAATTTTTATTAGTCTTTGCAATTTAAAAAACCCCAACATATTCCATTTACAAGACAACAGTATAAAGAGGCAGTTTGTGGTTGGTTTTTTTTAAATATATCTCATCCATAAAAGGAAGAAAATTTCCTTTTAGCATAAAAGTAATCCTGGGTATCCTGGGGTGCATTAAGAGCAGCATGGCCAGCAGGCTGAGGGAGGTTCTCCTCCCTCTCTGCTCTGGTGAGGCCACATCTGGAGTGCTGTGTCCAGTTCTGGGCCCCCCAGTTCAAGAGACACAGGGAACTACTGGAGAGGATCCAGTGGAGGGCTACAAAGATGATGAGGGGACTCGAGTATCTCTCCTACGAGGAAAGGCTGAGCAATCTCGGGCTCTAACCCGGAGAAGACCGAGAGGGGATCTTATCAACACTTACAAATATCTAAAGGGTGGGTGTCAAGAGGATGGGGCCAGGCTCTTTTCAGTGGTGCCCAGTGACAGGACAAAGGGCAATGGGCACAAACTGGAGCACAGAAAGTTCCACCTGAACATGAGGAAAAACTTCTTTCCTTTTAGAGGTGACAGAACACTAGAACAGGCTGTCCAGGGAGGTTGTGGAGTCTCCTTCTCTGGAGATATTCAAAACCCACCAGGTCGCTGTTCTGTACAACCTGCTGTAGGTGAACCTGCTTTAGCAGGGGGTTGGACTGGATGATCTCCAGAGGTCCCTTCCAACCCCCAACATTCTGTTATTCTGTCATAGTGAAAAGCAAACACAAGATGCATTGCCACACCCAGCGCATTTCTTTGCCTGCATATGCTTGGTTCTTTGTAGCTATCTGAATAAAAAAAAGAGATGAGTTGCGGAGATATGGACAGTATTGTCTGTAATTTCAAAAACTGTATAGAACTATAGGCTTCCAGACAGCAGAGGGAACAGATTAACATTTTCTGTTAACATAAAACAAAAGAAGTCTTTGGCTTGCCTACTGATAGATTTAAGTTAGGTGACTGAATTCAAAAGACTACAAAGATTCATGCCTGAAGTATCTGTTTTAGTCAGAGCCACTACAGAAGGGGAATAAAGATCCCAATTCTGGAAAGAAACTCAAATGCTTACATAAGATGCTATCATCTTGTAATTTCCTCTTCCCTTATCTAATCAAGATACAAGAATCAACACTGGCAGTCTTTACAAAATTGTAGGGCTCTTCCATGTCCCAGAAGAGAAAAGGTTCTGCATGCTAGATTGCTCTTTACAGGTAAAACAAAAACAAACAAACAAAAAAGAAACAAAGAAAAATTGCATTTCCACCTGTAGCATTTGTTTTCTGTTATTTAGCTAAAGTTGTGACAGCTCAGGAAATAAAAGGCACAAATTACTGTAGCAAGGAATGTATGCCATTTCCAATTCTTGCTCTGATCCTTCTTGACTTCCACAGTTCACCTTCACCAAAACAAAGAAAACAACTTCCACCTGGGCAACAGTAAGCTCTAGATCACGAGCAAGATCTGACTTACGTATAAAACAAGTCCCAACAGCAGACCTAGCAAAGCAGAGTTCCAACAGGCAGATCTGTTTTGATTCACATTAATTACACTTTCAGCTTGTATCTTTCACGCAGCAGTTCAAACCTTAATGTTTGCTGAGATAAATGCTAGAACGAGTTACTTGCAACCCTGAGTAATGTATTCACATTACACTTCATTCTACCCAAAAAAGCTGTGAACAGAAAAAATTGTCTAGATCACAACTGGCTAAGGAAAGTTAACTACTTTTTTTTTTCAGGCCTCATGTACTTGATTTAGTTGAGCTGATAGCCAGGGCCCTCAAATGTCCAGAGGCCGAACTTTCTCAAAATAATAATGCCAAAGAAGTCTTAAGAAGCACACAAGAAAGTTTTCTTCACCCTTTTCCAGTTTCAGGATAAAAACAGAAACAAGAAAAAGCGTCACTGCCTTAGCCGACGTGAAAACAGATGCAACCCAGGCAGTTACCCAATAGGTTCAAACATCTTTTACAAAACATCAAATCTATCTTTCAGACTAATTTAATAGCCACAAAGATACTCTTAATTTTGCCTGAAGGCAAAAATCTTCTAAGGGTAAGAACTAATTTAACAAATTTCCTCCCTGTGTTTATCTAAGCTCTTCTATCGTTATTCTCTCTTCAATCTTGCTATACATTGAGGAAAAAAATTGACACTTATTTCAAGATCTTTTAATGATTTGAGAAAGCCCTCATGATGTGGACAATAATCTTAATCACGATGCCTCTAAGAGCATGTAAGGGCCCAGCAGGGATATGCTTTTGAAAGTCCTCATTTGGGTAGAAACTAAGCCATCAGCTGGCAATACTGTTTAAAGTAATCATTAGTCATTACCACATTTTGACGGAAAAAAAAAGCAGAAATAAGTATTGATTCATAAGGACAAACCAAAGAATCACACCCATGAAAAGGCAGAACACAGATCTTCTGCAAAATGATTGCGAAGGCACTTTTAACATCTAAAACAGACTTACAGGATGCCACAGACAGACCTTTTCCCCTAGAAAACCTAATTTTCTTTCAGAAAAGAATGATAATAAACAGAGGAAAATTTTGTTAGTTAATGCTTAGAAGGCCTCCAGTAACAACATTTGAAGACACATCATCTTTGCGAACCATAAATTCTCTCCTTTTTCTCAATCCCTACCACGATTCTTGTGCACATATTGCTAGCATTTTGAGCTTTTTGCGCTTCTGGAAGACATTAAGACTTTTGCCAACTCATTTTTCATTCCTGTTCTTCTCTAGAATGTTTGACAAACTTCTACTGCACACGCAAGAAGAAGTGGCAACCTCTCTGATAGCATGGTAGAGACATTTTTCTGTATATATAGACAATGCTCTCCAGGACAGTTTTCCAGAGCCAAAAATCAGTTGTACTGGTACAACAGGGCTGGCAGTAAGGGAAATGCATACCCATTGATTCTTTTCAGTTACATTTTCCAGGTGTCTCCCAGTGTCCAATTTAACACAAAGAAATTAAGAGGGAAATAATTTGTACTCATCTTTTAAAAGAAAAAAAAGTCAATAGAAAACAAATGCATGTCCCCCTCATTTTTTCTCCAAAAAGGATGACTAGCTAGCATAAATCCAGTTCTTAATTTTATAATTTTAGGAGTAAAATCAAATGTTAAGTCTGTATCTAGATCAAATATTCATAAGAAACATACATTTTAATGTGTTTTTTTCCTCAGAATTTGAAAAGGAATTTAAAATCTTCAATTTTATTCTTATTATCAATGGCACAGCAGCAGAATTTGTAACCAAGAGCATTTGACCAAACAGTTTAACAGACTCTCTAGTTCTGCTGGGGGAGAGAAACAGGTTTTTAAGGATGGCTGACAAAGAAAACCCTCAGCTGCAGTGTTGCCAAGATAGATAACACTAATTATTAAGCAAGTTCCTAGTAGAGACAGTTAGAAATTTAATTGTCAGGATCACTTTTTCAAAAAGATAAGCATGTAAAGCATGTGGGATGTGCAATGTGGAATTCCCTGTAGTATTCCTGAGGCTGAATATCAAACACTGGAAAACACTCAAGGAAATACAATTTGCCTTCTAACACACTGCACAAACACAAAATTGTTTACAGGTGCTGCCATAAAGGATTAATAATCTAAAAAGACAATTAAAAGGGAAAGGAAAACTATTTTTTTTCTTGCCTTTTCATATTTACTACCTCTCCCTTGTTTCTGTCTTTTCTGGGTTTAGTTTACTACTTATTTATTTCATTCCCTCTTAATATAATCCTATTTTTAAAAAAAAAAAATCAGTATTATTCATAGAAATGAAAAAAAGGGAAACCACAAAAGAAAAAAAATTGATAGAAATTAAGAGCTGAGCACATGGTCAGAGAAGTTAAGTTTACTGCTGTATTGACTTATCTGATACCTGCAAGCCTCTGCATGCTCTAATGTATCTGTGATATTAGTGTCAGCCACTTTCATTCAGGTTTACATCAATATGGCTTTTATTCTGGCCAAGTGAGATGGATGACAAACTCAAGTGAGCTAAAGCAGCTTAGACTTTTTCAGTGACAACTAATTATGGTAGACAGACATTTGATAGTAGATCATGTCTCCAGCATACGTTCCTTATGCCAGAGTTTTTGCAGGTGTCCTGCTAGCACTGGTGCTTATTACACTTACTACTCAGGACTATGGATCATATCTGGCATTCCTCTTAGGAAAAACACTGACCTTGGTTTTAAGAGGTAACAGCACTGAATTATCCTTTGACAAACTGTTCAACTAGTTACAAGAACTCTTAAAAATATTCATATAATTTTTGCATCAATCTGTCTGATGTTAAATTTCAGCCATTGGATCTTAGCATCCGGGATCCAAAACTAAAAGGAGATGTTGAACCTTCTATTCCCAACACACATGTACAGACTGCTCCTTTGAGAAGTTACAGAGATTAAGCTCCTCAAGTCTTCAACCCAGTGATACTCAATACAGCTGTTTATACACCGAAAGGTGTACTAGCTCTATCACTATTTTCTAGAATACAGTCATTCAATTCACAAGGGCACTCCACGTCCCTTCACACGCACAATCTTCCCTCTGGCTGTATTAAAAATACACCACTTGCCTGTATCGCTAGCTACAAACATAGCTATCGTCTTTACAACAATCTCTCAATCTGATCACTTTCAAACTTGAGCTAGTAACAGATCTATGTCCCTTGTACTCCACCAAAAATAGTCTTTTAGTCCTCAGGGAACCTGGCTAGATAAGGATTCCCTACTCACTAACACTTGCCATTATGCCATTTTTGGTAGCCAGTCTGATTTTTCAATTTCCCTTTCCCACAGCTCGTACAGCTTAACGGCTATATCAGCTAAGACATAGTTGTTCTTTATGCTGGACCTTGTCCTTAACCCCCCTTGAAGTTTTGTGCTCAATGGACATAAGTGGAAAAATTCTTACTCTGAATTCATCACACTCTTCTAACGTGACATTAGTAGCCATAGAAAGTGGTTAGATGAATGTAAGTTCCAAAATATTTAATAAACACTACATGAAAATATTGAGCGGAAATAGAAAAATATTAGCAGCCCCTTTCCACTAGGATAAAAAAGGTTAAAAAAATATTAACGTAAAGGTGAAAGTATTTCAGAGTATGGTCTAAAGTTATGAAACTATTTCAGTTAGAAAGCAAGTGATAAAACTAGCACCTTATTCAAAGAGCCAGTTTGAATAAAACAAAAGCAGAAGAAAATGCGAAAACCCCAAATACCTTAACCTATTAAAATGTCCAGTCAATAACTAACTCCACTATAAAACAAAATTGTTTCTATGCTATAGCCAATCTAACAGGATATAAATTCTTCAACTCCAAACCAGTTTATTAAACATAAATCATAAAAACAGTATAGTCAAATCAAGTTGAACACAGGTGACACAATGAAACAACAGAAGTTTAGCAACTAAGAAAATACAAACTCAAGTATTTTGCATAGTCTTGCTTTTGTTTCTTGTATTCCAAGAATACACATGAATTTCAGTCTGGTCCTGCCACAAAAGTACTAGACCCCTTGAAGGACACAGTTAAAACATTTCCAGTGAAAAAAAGTCACTGATCTATACTAAGAATTTAGTCTTTCACTGTCAATAGAAAAAATAATTTATGTGCTATTTATTTACTGAAATTGGTGGCTTGTGGTAAGGCACTACTTGCTATATTCTTCAGACAGCACCTTACTGTAGTAAGTACAAGTAGAGTTAGCCCCAGAACTGTCCAAAATCCAGCTAAGTACACATTTCCCAGATAATTTCCCAGAAGATTTTTTTGTCATACCCAATTTTTAAGTCATCTTCTACACTGCAGGCCAAGAGATTGCAGTAGGACCCAGACAGTTTTCTGAACAAGTCAGACTTCCTCACTTTTTAAACATTTAAGTGTCACAACACATGCAAAGTTCGAAGTTTTTCCTGAGTTCATCTGTAGGCCACTTTTTTTTTTTGACCAAACGTAATTCATTAAGGAAAAAGCCATCACTTTGTCTCCTCAGGCACCACCATTTCCAAACATAGTTCTATGGCTGTATCAACAACATTCTGATGTGCTTTCAGTAACGCCAACGCTTCTGAAATACAACAGAGCCAACTACAAATCAGCAGTCATAACTTTTTCTCTCCCACTTAAGGCGGCACATCAGTTTGAACTATTGATACAGCATTACAAAAATTAAAAACTTTCCAAAGTTTTAATATGTGTATAAACTCATGACATTAAAGCTTTTAGATTATTACATCCACTGATAATTTGGTTTATGGCAACTGAATCAATGCAACGAAAAGCCACTGAATTTTCTGGCTATAAAAATTATTTGTTTGCTAAAAATCCAAGTAATAGGAACACATTCGCTACAGCTATTCTCTCAATGAAATCTAAATATCTGAATACGTACATCCAACAAATCATGATTACAAAAAAAAATTAAGCCACTATTAAGTCTTACCTTGTGTGCTGGCACTAGATTAACTAACACTGTATCCAAAAGTTCCTGCGACACAGTATCTCCCTCACAAATGATAGAGCTCATTAGATCAACCATGTGCATGTGTACTTTTTGGTTATGACCATTGCTGAAATTAAAAACAAGAATTCTTAGTGTATTATTTGTATAAAAGTACTCCCTATGGTGATGCCAAACACCAAGGAACATAGTAATTAAATCGCAAGTTTTCTTAGAAGTCAAAATATTTAAGTTTCTCTGGTACATACATCACTTTCCCAAACATTCCAGAATCTCATTTATTACTGTAGTTAGTAAAAGGATAAGAGGACTGTATCTGTCCCTACCATGAAAAGACAGTGTATTAGGTCATCCCTCTCCTCAACACTGGTGAGACTTCATCTGGGTGCTGTGCCCAGTTCTGGGCTTCTCAGCACAATAGAGACACAGACATCCTGGAGTCAGTCCAGCAAAGGGCCACAAAGATGACTAAGGGACTGGAGGAGCTCTCATACAAGCAGAATCTGAGAGCTGCCATCTTTTTTTTAGCCTCAAGAAGAGATGGCTTAGGTAGGAACTTATCATTATGTTTAAACATCTGATGCTGGGAGTAAATAAGACAGGGCCAAGCTCTTCTCAGTGGTGTCCAGTGACAGGACAAGAGGCGATAGGCACAAGGATGTACCATTTAAACATAGGAAAGAGAAGCTTTTTACATATAAGGGTGACTGAGCATTAGAAGGTTGCCCAGAGAGGCCATGGAGTCTACATCCTTGGAGACGCTCAAAATCCAACTGGTTACAGTCCCAGACAGTCTGCTTTACCTGACCCTGTTTTGAGCAAGCAGGGCAGGCAGGTGACCTCTAGCAGAACATTTCATTTTCTGACTCATTTTTTTAGAGTAATAATCTTCCAAATTCCTCAGAATGGCATATTGCACCATTTGCTTTCAAGAACAGAACAAAATAAATGCAGTAAAAGACAATCAAAGTAAGTTTCTTAGTAAAAAAAAAAAATTATTTGCAGTGTGTCTTGTTTAATTAAAACAGGCAAAACTGACAGCTTGTTATATTTAACGCTGCTATCTTCAGTTAAACTGAATTACAAAACTAAGCTCATTAACACTAAAAGTTACAGAATAGACTGAACACTTGGGTTAGAAACATCTCAACCATGTAATAATATATTATAATTGGGGGTGACAATACTTACTTTATTACTGAAAACAGCGTTCTGTACAACTGTGTAAAAATCTCATTGCTGTCTTCTAATTCAAAGCATATGTTGTAAGACTTGACCCAAGCAATGTTCTGTGTTGGACAGGAAAAAACAAAAGGAGTACTTAATACATCATTAAGTTGAAAAATTACAGTTATTTTGAAGTAAGTGATGAAGCTTACCTCAAGCAAATAAAAATATCGATTAAACTGGGGGCTTTTTGTATCTTCTAAACCTTTAAGTTGCCTTGTTATGAACATAAATATATCCTGAAAAGAAAGAAGTGATAGCTATTTAATCAACTTTAATAAAACTTTCAAAATTAAAATAATAATCTTTTAAAATTACTAGTATTATTCATCGCTACAAAATATGCAATGACAGACATGATTTCACTGTCCAAAAGAAGACTATCTACAAAACATCACAGAGAATGTCAAGTAGTAATTTTCAAATGCTTCATGTTTCTTTAAAGGCTTGAGAAAGTAACCTTTTTCTAGATTTAGTTACTTTTCAAGTAACTCGACAGAGCTGCAACTGGCTGACATGCTGCAGAAGTCAAAAGATTATCTGGAAGGACAATGAATTTTACATTTTTACTTTATATTGCAATAAGTTTTGACAGAAAAAGGAGAAAAAAGCAGTAGGCAACTGCAGCTTTCCTAAGAGCGTTATTATGTTTACACTGGTTTATGCGTTTCTTGATCATCATGCTACTGACACAGATCACATCTCTTGCAAAAACCAATAAACCAAGTTTCTCCTGCTTCCTTTATCAACTTCCAGCACCAGAAGACTTCTTCAGAAAAAGTCTCACACAGAATAAATGCAAACAGGTTATAAGTAACAGTTGATTACGAACAGAACAGAAACACACAGGAAGGTGTCTTTTTAAAATGCTTTTTACATTCAGATAATTAAGAGCTGGAAATTCATAACCACTATATTAAATCAAAAGATTCAGAAGTACCTATCACCAGAAATAGTGTTCAAAATATCGACAGTATCTATAGTATTTCATCTAACAATCAAATAAATTCCAAAAGGTATAAAGTTGCTATAATAAACACAAGAAAGCCTCACAGTTAACCCCGAAAAAACTATCCTAAAAATAGTCTAGAAAGCTTTTCTATAACATTTTCAAATGACCAGTTCCCCTCACCCCCTCAAGCATGAGATGGACAAAAGATGAGAATGAAGTTCCTTTTTTCTACCTACACAACCACAAAATCCAGCTGTAATCATTACACTGAGCACTTACTGTGATTTTAGGTAAAAACCAGATTACAGGTGACATCATCATCTCTTGGCAAAAAAGCACAGCAAGCACATTGTTCAGAGATACAACTACATCAATGTTTGAATTTGGATCAAGATCATGCCTTTGAAGTGTTAAGTAAGGATGATCAGAAGGATCATTGGTTCACACTTCAGATCAGTTACCGAGCACACGAACTAGACTCTAGTCGAAATTAAATCTAAAGACACAGTTCAAATCAAATCAAAGGACACACCTAATGGACTCCAACCACTGAAGAGCATTCAGTCCACGGACAAATGCCAGTCTGAAGAATCCCCCCTTAAAAACCAGTGCCTGAACCAGTAGCAGGCCATCAGCCTGTCCAAAATGAGTTCTAAACCTGAAAAACCGGTACACCAGAAGGTGCTGCAAAGTTTAGAAGACATATAAACTGAGTCTCAGTGAAGGATGAGATTCAATTAAAGAAGCAGCATCCAAGAGAATGACCAACGTCAAATACAAAAACTACTTCATCTTAGAACCCATGCCCTAGGTATAATTATTCTGTGAAACTTTACTTTTACAGATGAATCTCAAGCAGTTCATTTAATAAAGTGTCTTTACTTTTTATCCTGCAGCTCAGTATGCAATACTTGTTTACTGAATGTGATTCAAAGACCCTACTGAGACCGAAACTAGTTTCCTCATTTTTATGAAGTACTCATCACTGTATTGTATATGAAAACATGCATTAATGAAGAGCATACATGTACAATGTCTAGAATCTGACTGCCTCACAAATAATAATGGCCTCATCTGAAAAAGTAATAATTTACTCCTAATTCTATTTATTTTTTTCCTATTCCTGTTTTAAAGGATGCAAGACAGACTAAACTTAAAAGTACTCACTAATTTTTAATATCTAGTGTAATATGACCCAAAGTTTTTCCCTTTTTTGAGCATACAGAATATATTATTTGAACATGCATTTATAAATGCAAAACAAAGGATAAAATAAACTTTGGCTGCAGCTAAGAAATTGCAACATTTTCACGAGTTAGACAATGTGGTTCCACATCTGGCTCCATAAAGCAAGTCTACATTAAAACCCAGACACTTATACTTCAACTTTAGGAAGAACATTGAATGTCTTCTGTGGATTGTTGTCTTGACACCAGCTAACCACATAATGTCTTCAGAAAGCATCAGAGCCATGGCTTTCACCACAGACCACATTCAGATAGCTGAAGTTCTGCTACAATATAGACCCTTAAACATCTCCATTTCACCCGAGTCAGGCAGACAGTCCCTTTGTCCAAGTGGTTTTCTTTGACACATAACAGTGATGAGAACATCTCCCCCACCACCACCCCGAAAATTAGATTTGGGCTCTAGGCTTTCCCCACACCGAGGAGGTCTTAAAGTCAGAAGTTTCCAGATCCCAGAAAAGCAATCCTGCTTTTAGTCTTCTTGTGGCATTTTCCACCCCGTTATTAAAGCTCTTTCAACACTCAGCAAGCAACACAAGATTTACACAGGATACGCATAAAAGAGGGAAAGCTTAAATTCTGATCCCTTCTCTCAGTATCTCACTTGCACAATGTGTAAGTTAAAGAGATCTGAAGATTTTGAAGCAAGGGCAAAAACTTAAGTTTTCCCCTCTCAAGAAATTATCCTTTTCAGCACTTCTCTTTGCCATCTTTAACTTTGATGCTAAAGATACTAGAAGAGACTCAAAACTGCAGTACGGATACAATATTAAATACTGGGTAAAAATAGTGCCAAGATATAACCCAAGAGGAAGCATTCTTCCTCTTACCTCTTTGTCATAAAGTGGAGGGAACTCTTCAACATTTGTATCAGAGCTTGTCCTGCAACCACAAAAGCTGTGTTCAGCGGAAACAAGTTTGCAAAAAACCTACCTCAGTAGCCCTAGGCAAAGGTCTCTATTGTTTGTCCTTTCTTTATTTCCCAAAATGTGTTTAGAAATCTGCATCAAGAAATCAAATTCTGAAATCTGCACAGATTACAGAACTGAATGCTCACAGTGGAAGCTCCTAGTCTGTTCAGAGCTCTATCCAAGTTGTGTAGTATGCTTACATTGCCCTTACACAATCAGTAACATAAACCTTCCAGTATTATATACTGTAAAATTTGAAACTCAGTAGCACTCAATAGATCAAATTCTGTAATGAATATTATAACGTTAGCCCAATTCAGAGGGAGGTGGGGGGGGGGAACAACCTCTAACAAGCAAAGGAAAACATATACTCAAAATCAAAGTAACAATCAGGATGCCTCAAAACCAGACTTAAATATAGCAGTAGAGACCGCTAATGTTTGTCTCCAATTGAAGATGGTGTAACCAATAAGTAAGGTGACTAGCTAGTGTGCAATCAGATGCGCAACAATTCAGAAATTGAAAGAAAATACAGCTAACAGGAATCCTTCGGTATCTCTCTAGTATGTCTGGAAACAAAAGATGTACTACAGTTGAAACTACTGTTTGCCCCACTTACGAACCACTTCTGGTGCAACGACTAGATCAGAAATTGAGTGATTTCTTCCACTGTAATAGATATACCTTCCATCACAACCACCTTTTTGTTTGTTTTTTTTCCACAGTAGGGTAAAAAAATAAAACAAAAAAGGCCACATACACTCTTAAATCATAGAGACAAAAAAAGTATGTATTTTTCACTGTTATTTTCCCCTGCAAGTTCTTCTATAAGACTCAGTTCATCACACTAGATTCAGCCTGTGTAAGTCTGACTTTCTGAGTTGGAAAGAAAGTTTGATTTCTATTTAAAAAAAGAAAACTACAAAACAAATCTAAAATGAAATTTTTCTGAAACAAATGGGGCAGATCTGTACTGCCTTTTCAAACCTGGCATTTCTCTATCAACCATCTCCATCTAGTGGGATCAGTGATGTTTGTAATTGCAGAATTTTCCAATTCATATCAGAAATAGTTATCCGTTATACAAAAACACTTTTTCTTTGTTTCAGTAGGGCCTTTATCTATAAAAATACAGTAATTATCTCTTTGTAGTTTAATTGGAAACAGCAGAGCTATTTTCCTAATTGAAGGCATCAATCTTGCAAGAGATTATGATAAAAACTATAGACATATCAATATTTCTAAAGTAACAGACCACTATCTGCAAATACCAATGACGGTTCAATAAAACATTTATTTTCAATATAAATCCAAAACTCTACAAGTTACTAAAAGTTGTAATCTATACCACTTTATCTGATGAACATTTGACCTGACCAAACACCCCTATCTCAGAATCAAGTCAAAACTTTGGATAGCTTAAGATGAACCAGAAACAAAGGGAATGAAAAAAAAAAACATAATCAATTACATTAATCACTGAGTTTGAAAACCTGGTGTGGAAGAAGATATTAATTCAATTTACCTTTAGTTTATCCGGTGAAGTGTATGGAGCTTCAGGGGCATAAATTCTGAAAATATCTGCAAGACAACATGCTACCAACAAACGTACATCCTTATCAGGATGTTTGAGGAAAAAGTCTGAAGCAAGATGTAAAGCAAGATTTAGGTAGAGCTCCTTTTCTTCTTCAGAGTCCTGGTCCATATCCATGAAAGTTTTCACAACCATCTAAAAAGACAGAGAGACACTAGTACATAAAATGAAATGCTCTGTGTAACAGGGTCCTTACTGAAAGTTCCTTGTCAGGTTTTGTGCAACTTCTGTCAGGATCATTATTACCAGTGCAGTAAATACTTCATTTGAGTGTCTTATTTTCCAGGGTACAGGAAGGACCTAGTCAAGTCCTCTATCAATTGTCCCAACACAGTCTCAGCCGAGTTACTGAAAGTCTAGCCATAGTACTTCATGTGTCTTTTTGACAAACCATATCATCAAGTTGGCCAATTCAAAAAATACAACAGCATTCACTAAAAAATTTAGGAAACGGCAAAAATTTATTCAAAATATTTATTTCTCCCCGAAGTATTTAGGGTTACAATTTATTTTCCCTCTATTCTCTTTCAATTTCAGGGTTTTTTCTACTACTGCTCAGAGGACAAGGTTATCCCCTGTGTTGCCCAGAAGCAGCTCACACACTTCCAGCGGAAGCATATGTAAATCCAGTGCAGCCCAGTCGCATGCACGTTGTCCAACAGGACTAAAATGCCCATTAGTATTATAAGGATCCAGCAGACAAAAGCTGCGGAACAAAAAGAAAAAAAAGAAGTCTGGGACACCAAGTATAAAATACCCTGAGCAGAACAAAAGCAAGAAAAGCCATAATTAGTAACTGCTAGTTGGTGAGAATTCTTTTATTTAAAAAACCGTTTGGAGGAGAAAAACCTATTGACAAAACAAAGTAATTACACTTTTCTGTATCCAACTTCTTATTTGGATCACAGCGGCAAAGTTATGTTACAGAGTTCAACTCCTGTTAAAATTAGCAAAATGGTAATAAAGACTTAACTACACAATCCTGAGAATTAAAGTCAAAACTCCCATCTATATCACCAGAGCAGGAAGAGGTATTTTTCACAAACAATGATGTCAGTGAAGTTCCTCAAAAAACCCAAAACACCACAATCTTAAAACACTACAAATTATTTTACTTTGCTGTGGTTAGGTTTTTTGGGGTATCCCCCCCCCAAAAAAAAAATTTACTGTAATTGGTCAGGTAGCAATAAATCCTACTTTAAAAAACCGAAGGACACCTGCATAATTAGGATCACAGCAGCTGTAAAGTTTTCATGCATATGAGAATACTTTATTAAAAGGCACAGAAGATTAGTAGCTTATGCAAACATACAATTTCCATTGCGAGAAAAAAAAAAAAAAAGAGTACTCCCCAGTCAAACACAAGATGAACCACTTCAAGTGCACTGGTGCCCTTACACAGTATTAAAGTAATTTGAAAATCAGAATTGTTTTCACTTCTATGTAAAGTAGTTTTATTTATATAATTTAAAAGGTAATGAATAAGTATTCAGTTGCCACAAGGGTTCTTGCAACAAGTATGTTTTTTGCCTAGTCTAGAAATGAACCTTCAGTTTCTCTTCCCTGACAACATGAACTTCCATATTGGTCAGGACAACAAAAAATAGTCACCTTGTCTCCAGAGCTTTCTGTCACAGTGTTTAAGGAAAAACAAAAACAAGCTAGTTTTCCTGGCATGCCTTTCTAACTTCCTGCAAAGCAATAGGTTAGAGGATTCCCGAGGCTGAAATCACACCCGGACCACCATGCTTAATACTCCTGGAGCTTCATCTTCCAGCTGTGGCCCATGTTTCTTAACCCATTCAATTTTTCCTACATCTTTCTACAGTAATAAGCTTGGGAAATTAATGATATAACTTGTGGAACAAGCTATGTTATTAGACTGCTGGTCTAAAATTAATATATTTTCATCAGATGATACCTTTGTTCTTATGTATTAAGAGAAACCGGAAAAAATGCTTTCCTCACATTATTCATCATTTCCAAATGTTTATCACCTTCTGTCTATCTTCAGTACTAGCTCGTGACTCCAACCAGTACTAGTTTGTGACTCCAACCATTTAGTTTCTACCTCCTTTCCAAATCTACTGTAACTTGGAGATGGTGTGGATAACAAATGCATGAAATTTCTGAGGTAAGTTAAGCTAATACAGAAATTCACTGTGCATATTTTCCATTTTATTCTCAGATTACCCAATAATTTGTATTTATATAAATACATCGCCATTAACAAACAGCAGACTTTCTGCTTGGCCAAATCAAAATAAAATCCACAGAAAAGCGCATATTCCCTAATAATTATATGAATTGGGTGGTCAGGGAATTGAAGATGCTAATAGTTCACTTATTTATCAACTACTGTTCTTTACCACCTGCAACCGTGTTAATACCGTAGGTCTATACACTTGTGGTGTAGCCTAGATCATTCAATCCTTCGTAAAAGAAACACCATGTGGTTTTCTCCCTGCCTGCATACTGATGAATGCACAGTCAGAATAAACAGCTGACAAGAAATACAGGATTTCTCCTGCAAGACAGATCAAGATGATGGAACAGAAGGGACCGGACATTCAAGGCCAAAAGTGAAATGAAATTATAGGAGAAAAAGTATCAGTAAGAACTATGTGCGTTTTCACAAGCTTTAAAAAAAATACACAAGTGCTAACAAATAACTTCTGTTAGGCGTCACTCGTACACAAAAGTTATACATGTCATCGAATCATCGAATGCAGCATACCGACTATAGTCTATCAGCCCAATTCCCAAAGCACAGACAGGTTACTGGGGGAGGGGAGAAAAGAATCCTGGTGTTTGAGGATTTTATTGGCTTTTGTTCATTTACCATTAGTTCCGACTGACTTAAAACTACTTCTTAAGAAAACAAACTCCAAATTAAGCTCTTCCAGCTGTTAGAACACTTAAGGTTCCTCTCCCACATCTGTTCCCTTCTGTTTCACAGGGCAAGCCCTAGTTGCAGGCATTCTTTCTACACAATACTAATAGGCCTGCCTTTTTGTGAGAGCACACGGGTAGATAAAGAATTGTAGTAACACAATTATCCCCCAAACGTCTCCAGTCTTCCTGTAGAGTTAGGCCAAACAGAGTGGTCAAGAAATTCAGGAGACACACACGCAGTATAATCAAACACTACCTTAATTATGATACAGGCTGAAATAATAAGAATAAAGGGTTTTATAATTAACCCAAAGAGCACAAATGCACAAAGGAAATGTATTCTGAGGGACCCATATTATTTCCAAAATTATTACTCTCTTTTAATGGTTTTCCAGTATTTTCTTCTCTAAAAGCACTGACTCACTGAAGGAGCTAAAATAAAAAGTAGTATTTGAAGTTAATATAGCTTATTTCCATTTGTGATTTTTTAACTCATTTAAATGTTTTTGGACAAGTCACTTCAAGAAAGTGGTAAGAGAGCACAATAGCCAACAAGTTCTCCTTCTGAACACAGAAAAGGTAAAGCATAAAGGGGGAAAAAAAATCCTTTCAGATAGAAAATAGAGTAACGGGATCACTGAGTGCTGTATACAAGAAACTTCAATCTGCAAACTGTTACTTGCTTACTAACCTTTAGCCTTCTCACCATCTCTTCTTTAGATATTTTATCAGAGATTTCTTTAACTCCTGGAGGATATGTGATTTTTCCATCGTTGGCCCTCGTCTTTGAATGAGCCATGATTTCACGATTTTAAAACTGTGGAAAGAAATTAAGAAGTCAATGTTTTTTAGCTAGTTTATGTTTACCTTATCTGTCCCACTTTTACAAACAAAATCCAACTAGAAATACACTGACAAAACCCATACAAACAAAGAAAAAACTGGACAGAACATTTTGATTGTTCTCAGTAATCTATATTGTGGCGGATAGCAATGATTTTGACATTCACGTAGATTGTCCTATAGTACCATAAGACTTCCAAGAAGTACACAACAGAAAAAAACACTAAAACTCATGCCTGAACATATTTGATCCTCATAACAGAGATGCAACCAAGAATCTTCTTATCTTATTGTATGAACTGTTCCCACCACTCGGTAATAACAAATCCTAGCCAGCTTGGATTTTTAAACTGTCTGAGAACAGACAGCTGAAGTGGACTATTAAATAGAACACAATGCCCTCAAAAGTCTAAGTAGCACTGCTGCTGAAGTGTTACACATCACTAATTTTTAGTTGCCAATACTGCCAGACAAGCAGCAGATAGAGAATGAAGTGGGCACAGGAACAGAGCAGACCAAATGGAAGTCTTTCCTTTATGCCACAAAGCCCATATTTTAAGCAAAAGACTGCAGATAAGCAACAGTATCTTCTTCCTAAATCTCAAGTATGAAAACAACTCAGTTACTTGGTTTTTCAGTCCCTTTAAACTGATGCAAATACAGACTGCCACCTAAGCCACCCTAAGCTATGCAAAGTTCCACTGCTGCAGAGAAGGAAGCTGAATTGAAAGCTTTACTTACATAAAATTAATACAAAAGACAGTGAAAAAACCTAGATGGCATGTGTTAGGATTTTAGAAAGACTGTACCAGGGCAGTTATAAGTCAAGAATGTAACAAAGGAAATAAAATTTCTTTGCCATTGCCTTGATATTTTTATTTATTTAAAAGTTTGGAACACTTCCTCAGTCACCACTTCCTGAACCCTGTGTTCCAATTCAGGCATTTTCTTCCTACCCATCTCCTGTACAAGGAGGATCTAGGTACACTTTGATCTTCTCAGAACTATAACATCAGAGATAAAAATCAACCAGAATCCCCAAGAGGAGATGAGTTAGAAACATGTTCCATAACAGGATGGTATAATCTGCCATAACTGAGACTTACTGGCCCAAGCCAAGGTCATTCTACACTAAAGGAGAAATGGAACATGAACTATACTCATCCACCCACCACCCAAAAAATATCCCAACATGTTTTGTATTCTTCAGTCCACATTGCACAGTAACAACCTAAGTTACAGATTTTGCTTCAACTTCACTAATCTTCTACAAAACAACAAGTTAACACTGACATTTACATAATTTTTGTAAAGAATACATACAGCACAACATATCTTGATTTTAGGAAATGAGGAGAATACGAGTAAAATGAACATAATCAGATGTGATTCAACAGGCATGATATGCAATGCACTTCAACAGCTACACAAAAGCCAACTCAGTTTGGTCTTCTCTGTACCTACATACACACAGCAGTTGAATCAAGTGTGACATACTTGCACTTGTGGTAAAAACAGATCACGAGAAAGCTGGGTTGGGATAGAACAAAACTCACTGAAGGAACTTTTTCTAATACTCCCAGGAAAATATGATGCCACTTTTATCCACTTTATATTTCTTAATACAACATCATGACGGCAAGCCTAAGACTCCTCAAAAATGCACAGAAGATGTGACCAAGTTCAGTGTTCTTGCTGTTTGACATAGATACTCCATTCCAGCTTTCAGATGGATGATGCTACACATCATAGCTAAATTCATTTTAATAGCTCATTATGGCTGAAGGGAATCTTGCTCCCCTCAATCTGAGAAAGTATAAAAGCATGAGATGCATGGCTGGACCAAATTCACCAAGTCAGAAAAACAAGCCTAATTGTTTTTGAAAAGCATATGACAAGCATCAAAACTAACACAAGGGAAGGAACAGGATTTAAGGGGACTGGGGAACAAAACTCCCCTTTTCCAGTGGTGAACAGCTGCCAGATCAGACCAACTGCAGCAGAAACTTGATTAGAACATCATGATATCGTCCCATTTGAAGCACATTTTGAAATAATTCTAAGACTGAAATTCATACATTATGGTCAAGCCGAACTGTCCAGCTGATGCGTCCAGCTGACATGCAACCAAGCTTCTAAGCTTGAGTGGTGCCCAAGGTCTCAGTTTGAAATTGAACATCTGTATTGTGTTTACATAGCAAGGTTTTGGTAGCTGGGGAGACCTCAGGGATGGCCTCTGTGGGAAGAGACCAGGGGCTGCTCCCTTGGCAGTCAGCCAGCTCCAAAATGGACTCACCCCTGACTAAAGTCGAGCCCATCAGTGACACTGGTAGTGACTCTGTGGTAACATATTTAAGAAATGCTACAAAATGCTGCAGAGGAGCTGAGAGAAGCGAGAAAAACATGAGCAAAGCAACGCTGCAGACATGAAGGTCAGTGAAGAAAGGGAGGGAGGAGATGCTCCATGCAACAGAGTAGATTCCCCTGCAGCCCATAAAGAAAATCATGATGACACAAGTTGTCCTCCTGCAGGCCATGGAGGACCATGTCAGAGCAGATATCCACACCGCAGCCTGTGGAAAGCAGCCCACACTGGAGCAGGCTCCTGATAGAACCTGCAACCCCATAGGGGACCCACGCTGGAGCAGTCTATTCCTGAAGGACTATACCTCATGAGAGGGGCTCATGCTGGAGCAGTTCTTGAAGAACTGCAGCCCGTGGGAAGGACCCACGTTGGAGACATTTGTGAAGGACTGCATCCCTTGGTTAGGGCCCACATTGCAGCAGCGGAAAAAGCGTGAGGAAGGAGTGGGAGAGATGAAGGGTTATGAACTGCCCACAACCCCTCTTCCTTATCTCTCAAATGCTGCAGGAAGGGGGAAGGTAGAAGAATCAGAAATGAACAAGTGAAGTTGAGCCTGGGAAGGGGGGGGGGGGGGAGAAGGTGTCTTTAGTTTTGTCTCTGTTTCTCACTATCCTGCTCCATTTTTAATTGGCAATAAAAATTAATCTTCCCCAAGTCAAGCCCGGTTTGCCCATGATGGTTATCGGTAAGTGATCTCCCTGTATTTATCTTGACCCATGAGCTTTTTAAATCTTATTTTCTTCCTCGCTCTGCTGAGCAGGGGGAGTGAGAGAGCAGCTGGGTGGGCACCTAGGAGCCAGCCAAGGTTACATAAGAGGGTACATAATAACTTATCCCTCTCAGAAGTAGAGAAAACACTAAATAGGAATTAGTTTTCTATAGAACACATATATCTAATCTTATAGTACCAAAAATTAATTTTAAAAAGGCTCAATGAAATAGTCTATTACTTAGACCACAAGGGACAAAGAATAATAAACCTTTTAAACTTCCTATGGAATACAATTTGCAGATCGCTCCTGAAAGTTTTTTAGGATTAATGGTAAGCTTTACTGGAAAAAAATAATTAACAAAAAGAGTAAAACACAAAACCTATCATTCAACAAGAGAAAATTCAATGCTAAACTCCGCCCTTGTACAACAGTTATCACTTCAACCATTACCTAAATAAAACTGAATTAGCTTGTTACATCCCACTGCTAGAAGTTCCTGCTCTGTGGATTGTCAGTAGACCTGCACACACCTAGCTCTGTCAAAATAATCTGTGCTGAACATTTGGCAGGATCTAGGATTGGGGAGGTGTGCGCATTTGTTTTTAGCCTGATTCTAGTTAAATGAAAGTCTCCGTGAGTTCACATAATAGTTACACCAGCTGTTTCAATTAACTTCTGTCAGGGAAAAGGAAGACACCTAAGAACAACAGCCTCGAGGCCAGCTGTATCTAGAATATTTTGAAGCATGAAAATCCAGAAGCCAGTGAGGTGATATCCAATGACTAAGTTTCAAAAAGCTTTTTAAATTTGTTTTTAAAGATGCACTGTCATCTTTTGGAACACACTGGAAGATAACAAGCATTTTGAGAAACGGCAATTCTTTTAAAGTTTCTTTGAGATTCAACAAGAGACTCAGCTGACAGATTTTATTTTTTTTATTTAACAGCTGAAACTTTAGAAGTCCACCACAATGTCAGTATTATTCCATGTACACAATCAGAAGGCAAAGAAAAAGGAAAATGCTCACGCTGATACCTTTTTTAGGGCAAGCAAACACTCCGGACACTGAGATACCAGCCAGAATCTAAGCTTATTAACCAACCAGTAAGATATGTACTGTTTCTGCTGTTATATAAAAGGAGATAAACATAACAAGAAACTTCAACAAATATATAACAAACAAATGCTAATCCTAATACATAGGAATAAAAATCACGGTTCAATCAGGCTTTGGTTATGTTAAGCAGTACTAAGTCAAGTCTTTAAAAACTACAAAGAAAATAAACCTCTTTAAGCTAATATAGCATTTTAAATGTGAATTCCATTCCTTGTACAGAAGGACATTTTACAGCGGGACTTAATATGGATGGGCATTTTGTCAACACAGATACACCACTGCAACTATAACTTGAAAGACTTGAAATTAGGAACAAGAGCAAATCTGTTAAAAGTACATTGAAAAATGGTATGTATAAAAAAAAAAGCTTGACAAACTAAAAGCTAAATTTTACAGGGCAGGAGGGGTGTGGTAGAAAGCAGTACAAGAAAAGAAAGAAAGAAGACAACACACATACAACGATAACAGGAAAATTAAAGCATGGAAAAAGCAACAAAAGTGGAAGTTGCATTAAAATAGGATGGACTAAAGTCCTCCACCTCCTGTGACAAAAGTTAAATCAAAAGATCATATTTAATGTAAAGTTATGATTATCAGTCAGACCATAGATGGGGAACAGTTCATTACTCTAAACAGAGTTAATTAGGAACAAGTACCATTGCCAAGATTTGGTCAAACTCAAATAAATAAAATACAATTAGTCGTTCTGTATATAATTAGCAGGACCCAAGAGCTACTCAGTTCCAGCCAAGTCTACTGACCATGATATTAAA